GCATGCAGGAGTTTCATGTCATGGCTGAGGAACTCCAAGCTTTAGGAACCCAGATCTTTTACACTGGGCAGTAAGCTTACCTACACTTTAGCCTGGAGGAAGATCACTACGCTTATTTTGCTGAATAGTAAACAAGTCCATTCTCTGATCCAAAAACATTTCCATCTTCCAAGCTATTTGCTATACAAATATCCCTGAAAGGATAAGTCTATATTTAAAAAGGCAGCAAGACCCTCTTTTTGCAAAAAAAACAAAAACAAAAACACAGGCATAAGAGACCCATGGAAAACTGCCAATCTTATTCACTCCTCATTTTTACAACCTCTTGGCTTGTAATAAATTTTCCCATTATGTCTACTGGTCTATCAACCTTTGTGACTAATCTGATTAACAGAGGCTAGGACCAAATATATTCAATTTGTTTCCTACAGAACATAATGAAGTCTACTGTTAACAGGACTCCAAGCAATAGGATGAGGACAGCCTGCAGGATTGATTTCAACCATTCCTCCCAGAGTTCTGTACCCAATCAGTTGAACAATTCCCACAAACTATCAGCACCTGCCTTCCAGTGCTGAGGAAGTTTCATTGATCACTTTAGCTAAATTTAAGGGCAAATTTTGCATCACCCTTTCGAATTGGAGGACTCTCATTGTAGAAATAGTTACCCTCAGATTATGCATAAATAATGAGTAAAAATTACCTTCAGAGTATGCATAAATTTCTCTGGGGAGTAGTTTCAAGTAATCAAGAGTAACTTCATTGTGAAGGGATCTTTGCAGTCATCTGAGAAATACATGATCTATTGGTGACATTTTTCTAAATCGTTCTTTAGGTGGAACCTACTTGGCTTTCAGGAGGAAGGCAAGGTTATGCATGGCTTCCACACAAACTGTGCAATCCCATGAATTCTCATGGTGTCCTCTGAAAGAAAGTATTGTTCGAACTGTTGGGCCACTCCAAGTGATAGGTACATTATATGAGGATGAAGGGACACAGGTTGACAGTGCCTCTAATGTGGCTTCCCATTGGCTTGTAAATCTTAGGCTTCCCAGTTTAATAATTGAATCTAGTCCTTATTTTGGAATGGACTGCCTGAGAGCAGTTAAACTTGTCCAGGTTATCCATACCACAGCTGATAGCATTTACCCACTCCACGGAAAAACTGCTTCAGTGTGGGGAGTACAGAAGACCTCTGGAGGCACTGACAAGGAGGCAGGAACTGAGCCATCTCCTGCTGTTTCCAACAGACTACTCAATATGGTTAGGGAGAATGGTGGTCAAATTGCGGTTAGGGACCTTAGGCTGGAGATGCCAGACCTATTAAAATGAAAGGTGCCAGATCCAGTTTGAAATGTCTGCAACAGGCCATTTTCTTCTCCAACAGGCCTTTCCTTCATAAGGAAGGCACCAGGGGCAGATCTGAAGGGGAAAGATCTTTAATGTCTCTCTCTTCCTATACCTCCCAGGGTCTAAGGTGTTCACGCTTCATGTTTTTGGGTTGTAGCTATTCCTATAGCTAAATCTTTACCTTTTTCCAAATTATCCTCTACATACACTCAGACCTTTTGTCCAGAAGGGTCAGATGCAATAGAGAGAAAGTAATTTTTATAAAACAGAGAGACCCATTATATCTTCAAGTTTAGCCTCTGTGTGCCATCGTAGTGAGACTTGGCAAGCAGTGTTCACAACGAATTGTCATTATTCTTGTCATAGTCTGATTGTGTTTCTGTAATGGAATACCAAGGTAATTTATAAAGAAAAGAAATGTATTTGGCTCATCCTTCTGCAGGCTCTATAAGAAGCTGGCATGAGCACCTGCTTCTGCTGAGGACCTCAGACTGCTTCCACTCATAGCAGAGAAGAGAGCAGGCAAGAAGGTGTGTGAGATGCCAGACTGTTTTTAACAATCAGCTTTCCTGGGAACTATTAGATTGAAAACTCACTCACACTTTCCCCCCTCCCCTCACCACACTGGGAAGGCATTAATCCCTTCAAAAGGAATCTGCCCGAGGACCCAAACACCTCCAGTTACGCTCCACCTCCAACATTGGGGGTCAATTTCAACATGAGGTTTGGAGGGGACAAAAGCCCAAACTATAGGATTCCTCATGATCTATGAACATGCCGATCCCCCCCCAAAATTAACCCATGTGGCTTAAGTTTAAATCTCCAGGAACCCTTTTTAAGTGAGACAACCACATTCATTTTCTGTTCTGCACCGTTGGCACTAAGGCTGAACAGCCCAAGCAGCCCAATAGACACCATCTGGTTTGCGCTTAGCCAAACTGTCAGTGAACCAGGACCGGGCACTTAGTTGATGGTGAAAATAAACTAGAGCTACACAGATGTGACTTTTACAGACAACATGTTGAGAAAATGATTTCCCCATACCTAAAAATAACACTATATAATTTCATTTATAAAGTTCATATAAAGGTAAAAGTGAACCATTGTGTTTAGGGATACATATTTTGGTGCTAAAAACCATTCAAGTGTTTACTGGGTTAGTGGTTATCTTTGAGGGGCAGGAGGCATGACAAGGAGGGGGCCATGCTTTATTTATTAAACTCAAATGATCACTTTATAATAATTTGCTAAGATATATACTTGTTTTGTACTTTTTTCAATATATTGTTAAGTTTCAGAATTTCTTAAAAGGGATAAATCCCTTAGTGTATTAAGATATAAAAGAGTAGAGTCCAAAACCAAATTCACCTGATCTTGTGAGTTACCAGAGTCAAATAAATCTTAAGCTAAATTAAGATCCAAATATGATTTTCCTAATTTCTTATTCTGCTCAGGTTCAGTCGGAGGGATTCTCCAGAAATTGAAAGAGTTGGAATTCCTGCAACCTTCCCAGCCTTGTTCTCATTTGAATCATATTATTACCATTAGGACATGAAAAGCTGCATTAGCTCAATGCCAGGTTTCTTGTGCTCCTCATTTATGCAAGTGTCCAAGGAGATACGGGACATACAAGATTATCGGCAGCCCTGGCTCCATAACCAACAAATGCAGAAAACAAGCCAATCCTCTGCTGATGGCAATTATCCCAGGAAAAGTTACATTCCTACCACTCTGTATTAGTATTGCCAAAAGCCAAGGCAGAAGAAACTCAGTAGTATCAAGTGTAGGAGGGTGGAAAATATATATACATATATCTGGGTTTTATCTTCACCAAATTGTCTGTCAAAAGATGCCAAATTGTACAGTGTCTACAATTGTGAGCTTGAAGAGAAGAAATTTCTCAGCGAGAGCTTAATTTGGGTACTATAAATTTACCATATCTGGAAAAGAAAGCCTACCTATACATACTTTCTCCCTTTCAGAGGGAGAGAGTTTGTGACTGAAGTCTTTTTTTTTTTTTAGAGAAGGGGTTTCACCATGTTGGCCAGGTTGGTCTCCAACTGCTGACCTCAGGTAATCTGCCCACCTCAGCCTCCCAAAGTGCTGGGATTACAAGTATGAGCTGCCACGCCTTGCCAATTTAACTCTTTTTGCAGAGATTTGAATGCAATGTTGACAGTTCCAGTCACAAGTCTTGTTTAAGATCCTTCCTTCCTTCCTTCCTTCCTTTCCTCCCTCCCTCCATTCCTTCCTTTCCTTCCTTCCCTCCTTCCTTCCTTCTCTCTTTTCTCTCTCCCTCCCTTCTTCTTTCTCCCTTCCTTCTTCTTTCTTTTTTCTCTTCTTTCTCTTATTTTCTCTCTCTGTCCTTCCCTCCCTCCCTCCTCTCTTCCTCCCTCTCTCTCCCTTCTTCTTCTTTCTTTCCTTTTATTTTCTTTCTTCTTTTGAGTTAAGGTCTTGCTGTGTCACCCAGGCTGGAGTGGCAGTGGCAGGAACACAGGTCACTGTGGCCTAGACCTCCTGGGCTAAAGCAATCCTCCCAATTCAGTCTCCTGAATAGCTAGAACTACATACAGCATGCACCACCATGCCTGGCTAATTTTTGTATTTTTGGTAAAGATGAGCCCTCCCTATGTTGCCCAGGCTGTTCTTGGACTCCCGGATTCAAGCAATCCTCTCCGTGTCGGGATTACAGGCATGAGCCCCGTGCCCGTCCAAATATTTTACTTTCAAACCAGTAAAACATCATAATTTCTATTTCCCTTTTGAACCTCGTATTTGTGATGCTAAAGCTTTATGTGTGCGCTCTAGAAGGTATTACAGCCTCCTGAGTATCTGGTAACCAATCATTTTCAGTCCTGTGCTTCAGAAGTTACTTCTCTGTCTTTTTTTCTGGAACTGCTTAGGTTTAAGAAACTAGAATTGAGAGAAAGTGTTCACCAAGTTCTCCACCTTTGTTTCACCTAGAAAATGGCACTCAACAAGATCCTGAACTGAAGCTGCATTGAGGAATGTTAATGGCTCCTCCTTGAGAGGCCTGGAGAGCCTATGTAGATTTCTCCAGCTACTATCTTTTTATCGCTTTGAATTCTGCAATCCTTTCAAGGATGTTCCCTCAATCAGGGTGGTGCAAGTTTGACCAGCAGCTTGGCTCTACTCTTCATTCCCATATGTCACTTTGCAGTTTATCTATTGGTTCTTCCAATATTTTTATATTTGATCCCACAGATCAGCCACATGAATTCAAGGTTATTGTTCCACAGTGCCTCTTATGCCTCAGCATAGAATTTGGGGCATCCCAATTTCAAATGTGGAATTCTATTAGCGTTTGGTAGGAACAAAGCTGTCAGCTACCCCATCCTGTAAAAGCAGCAGATACATTCGGTGTCCTGACATCTAAAAGGTCTGTATGCAGAAAGAACTTCCCCTGTAAAGAATCCTCATTCCATCTCATGTCACACTAGCACCTATTGAGTCCTTGGCTCTGGAAATGTTTGCCAAGTGTGCCCTAAGGGAAATCTGTAGCAACCTTTGCCCTGAGACTGTACCCTTGCTGATGTCCTGTGGCTCTGCTTCAGAGCAACGCTGTACATATGTTGTTTGCTAGGAGCTTCACGCTTGTAATTCAGCCTTCATTGGCAGCAGCTACTCACCCGTGGACAGAACAGAGTGACTATAAGGTGCATGCGTCCATCAGACCAACATTCACATGAACTACTTTACTGAGGTCAGAGCAGTGAAAAGCCAACTGCATCATAGTAAATGGCTGACCAGACGAATAAAAGCCTGCCCAGACCAAGCAGGGATGCAATTATGACTTTCGTGGGTCTGTGCACTTTTGCCTTTCAAAGGTCCTTTCATAAAAATTTCTGAGGTGCAAAAAATATGAAAAGTTACATTTTACAACAGCATTTGTATAAATAACACATCCAAGCTGGATTATGTGTATTTCTTTTCTTCAGAGTTTAAAGAAATGAAAAAATTTTTGTGGGCCCCCGAAAGTGTCATGGGCCTTAGGCATTACGTCTACTGTGACTACAGATTAAGTAGCCCCAGCGCCAGGTCCACATGCCCCGCTCACGTGAAAGTCTAAGCCTGAAGTCCAGGCTTTAATCACTCCACATGGGGTTTTGTTCTTTATCACATATTTCTCAGTGATCCTGGCCAATGTAACAAAACGGTGACGTTCTCAGGGAGCCAAGTAAATAACACCTCAATACTCCCACAGAAAAAAGGCAAATAAGAAGATGATAATCAAAGTTTCACCATTACCACTAATAGATGCTAGGGTAAAGAATACCATCCAACTGACTCTTACATTTACTATATAAAAATTGGGAAGGCTAGGCATGGTGGTTTATGCCTGTAATCCCAGCACTTTGGAAGGCTAAGGCAGGCAGATCACCTGAGGTCAAGACTTCAAGACCAGACTGGCCAACACGGTAAAACACTGTCTCTACTAAAAATACAAAAAGATAGCCAGGTGTGGTGGCAGGTGCCTGAAATCCCAGCTACTCAGGAGGCTGAGGCAGGAGAATCGCTTGAACCCATGAGGTGGAGGTTGGAGTGAGCTGAGATCACACTACTGCACTCCAGCCTGGGTGATAAGAGTGAAACTCCAACTCCAAAAAAGAAAAAAAGAATTGGAAAATGTATCTCCCAGTCGCAGGCAATGCTGGACTGAAGCAGATTGCTCCATAAGGCACAGAAATGCTTGTTCCCACAGAAACAGCGGAGAATGTCCTCTCCTGATAAGAAGCTAGCTCCTACAAGGGAAACTATGAAATAGGGAAGCTGAGGTGGGCATGCCCAGATTTTTCTCCAAAGGCTTATCAATCAGATTAGTCGCTATGTGATAGACACACCTGACAGCAATAACAAGCATACCCTGAGAATGACCCTATGGTCTGAGGTAAGGACCCTCATGTCTTATCTATAAGGAACATTTGAATCCCTGGCCCATTCTGTGGAACAGGGGCTGTACTGGAGATGGAGGCCTTTTGTTTTGTGTTGAATGAAGGTTGCCAGGAGGAGGCTGCTAAAGGGAGGGTAATGAGTAAAAATGCTACATCAATTGCATGCTTTTTACAAGTGGCTGCAGCTCTCTTCCCCAGCCTACCCACACTAGACCACCCTGTGTGTAAATCCCTTCAATTAACCCTACATTTTGTCCGCTGACTCTGGGTTTCCTTTTCCGCCTCTCAAACATAGTGTTATTCCTATTGAAGTCAATGGGAGTCTGGCACAAAGTCACTTGATGTTGGGGATCAGGAAAGGGAGGAAGTCAACAAAGTAATGGAGAGAGACACCAGCTGAGTATCCATGCCTAGGAAAAAGCATCAGCTCAGAAGATGCATTTCTCTGAAAAGAGTCCATGTTAAATGGCAAGAACATTTAGGGACGCTCAAAGGATTGGCAGAGTAGGAGAGGAATTATGTTCAACATCATTTTGACATTTTAAGTGTATTCTACAAGCAGAAGAATGAAGGAATGAAACTAAAGTTTTATGTCTTATACTCAATAAACTAATAATACTTATTAAAATGGTTATGCCTGAATCTTATAAAAGAAGAGTGGTTAAAAACTTTGCAGTATTTTTTTTTCAATACATGTAATAGAAGAATAGGCATTAATTCCTAGCAAAGTTTAATAAACAATTATAGTATATATAAAAAGAAAAAAATTCCTTGCACTTGAGTTTCTATCAATTAGCAGCACTAAAGATAAAGAAAGTAAATAATATTATTTAATGAAATTATTCTCTACTGTTACAGAAGAATTCTGGTTTAATTACATTCTCAAATATCTGTGACATTCACTATTCAGTCAAAAAATATGCCTTAAAGGCTTTCAATGCTTAACTGAGAATACAGTGATAAGCAACACAGTTTTTGTCTTTACGTAATTTACATTACTACATCCTAAAAGGAACTCAAAAGGCTCAAATGCTGAAAGGAAATTATATCCAAATTTTTATCCACACTTCTCTCCATGAAAAACAAAAAACCCAAATATTATTTGTAAAAAAAATGAGAAGACAAAGATAGCCTTTGAATTCCTGGAACTACAATGACCAGTAAAAATGACCTATATTGGTCATTTATGAATCATACATATTGCTAACTCACTTTTCTCTTTTATATACGATGTGTAGATACAGCAAGAAATTGCCATAAAATCAGATCTTAGTCAGCAAGGGACAGCTTTGTTCAATGGTAGTTTAATTGGAATACATATTGCACAACATTCCCTTTTGGAAACTTTAAAGTCTTGAGGCTTTCTCCTTGCTCAGTTTTATCTTATGATAATCTACTTTATCAATTAACTTCCAGCTTGGCCAAGACACATTTAGTCTTAATGGAGTGTTGATTTGTGTCATCAATAACCTTCTGGCAAAGGTTGCTAATGAAATTTATGTTATGGGCCTTGTATAATTGTGTGAGGTGACCTTCTAAGGTAATTATCATTTAAATTTACTTCAACCAGATACCCTTTCCAATAACCACACACTTAGGCTTTCTTTGTGATCAATTTTTTTGTTTCTTTTTTCAATCTTGTCCCTGAACAACACATTGGTGGCTGTTTCTGATTTACTTATTATTATCATATTAATGGTAACAATGTTGTGCTTTTCCAGGAAGACAGTTGCTGTAATAATTACTTTCCTCTTAATAACTACATTAAGCTTGTTTTGATACATTATTATACAAGTTAATTATTAATTAGGTAATTGCCACAGTTTGACCAATACATAATCAATTTGATCAGTCTGAACTGAATGATCATGAAGCTTCTATAATGCAAAAGCATGGTGATGATTTATATTACTTCATTCAATATAGACTTATCAAGCGCATTCTATGTGCCAGCACTATATTAGACATCAGAAGGACAAGTGTTGGCAAAACAGGTTTCCCTTTTTTCATGGACCTTATATCTTTGTGAAGAAGTCACATAATAATGATTTGAAAGATAAACAAAGACTGATGATAGCAATATAAGAAGTAAATGCAGTGTTGGAAATAAATAACAGTGCTGACCCACAATTAAGGAAGCAAGGAGATATTTTCAGAGGAAGTAGTATTTAAGCAGAGACCTGAAGACTCAGAGACAGAGTGCCAGCCAAATAGCTGGGGAGGAGCATTCCAGGCACAGGACAGACAGTTCAAGGATCCTGTGGCAGTAAAGGATTTGAGTTTCCTAGGAACTGACATACGGAAGGCCAGTATGCCTGCAGAGTGAGCGAGGGAAGTAAGGCATGGGATGGTGCTTGAGAAGTCGGCAGGGCCCACTGTTTTGGGCCACGTGTGATCCTGTGATGCACCACCCAGATTTCCCCACAGAACTTAAGCACTTATTCTCCCAGCTGTGGGTGGTGCTGCCTGCTGATGGTCTTCAGCTGTCCTCTTTGCCTTTCACTGCCCTAATCAACCTCTCAAAGATTTCTTGAGGAACCCAAACTGCAAAACCACAGTAAATATAGGGATTTTACACTAAGTTAAAATGGGAGGCTATGGAAAGGCTTTCATAAAAGCAAGGGAGGATCACTTTACTTGGTATTTCTAATAGAAAGGGCAGAATAGAATTGGATGGCTGGTTAGGAAGCTATTACAGCAATCCTAGTGAGATGCTGATGGCTGGAATGAGGGCAATGGGAGTAGAAACTGAGAAAAGTGGATAAATACAAGACACATTTAGGGGTGAAATTGGCGATTGGCTAGCGAGAGAAAGAAAGCACCAAAGAATAACACCAAAGGGATAGCACAACGAAATTTTGGATGTCCAGTAGCAGAAAATTTAGGGCACCTGAATTCAATACTGATTTGGGAAGCTTGAACACAACTGTGTAAAGTACTGAGAAAAGACCCATGCTTAACATTCTGTGAAATAATATTTTGGCTTCATTGTAGAAATTATTCCCAAAGAAATGTGGAATCAGTATGAATTGAAAACCATGGCTACAAATGATTATGTTACATATTCTAGTTTTTTATACTCAATAGTGTTTGAAAATAAATAATTGCAAATGTGTTGCTGACACTTTGTAGCTAAGCTGAGCTTAAATATTGTAAACTGAATTAATGAACGTTAAGAGAACAGGTTCACAGTTCTTATGATGCACTAGTATAGTCTCAGAAGTCAATAATGGCTTGATATTCCAGAAAAAAGACTTGTACTGTTAAGTCTAAGGCCACAAAAATCATTTTTAAATAGGTATTATACAAAGTCAGCATTTGTAAATGACTGTGGAATAAAAGAGAGTAGAAATTTAATAGCTCCAGAAAAATTAGGAGGTATTTTTAGAGTAGGTTTGCACTAACCTAAAATTAAAAATAAATAAATAAATAAATAAATAAATAAATAAAGCTCTGGTTTAACAATTATTTTTCACTAAGATTCCTGATCTATCATACTGGGTCTACTTTGCCAGTGAATGATCCTGGTTATAGAGATTAGAATCCACGCCTGTTAGTTTAAGTAGAAAGAGATTTATTAAGAGATAATTAGGAAGTCGTCCAATCACTGAAAGCACAGGTGGGGCAAACCTAGGTTGACCTAGGAACATCTCCCAAGACTACATAATAGAAATGGCCTGTTGGGGGAGTGGCTAATTCATCTGACTTCAGATTTATGCTGCCTCTATCATAATCTAGAATGAGATGCTGCCACCAATGACAACCCAAAACTACACTGCTTCTGCTGTGATTCCAGAAGCACTTCACTTACCCTTAAACTCAGAAACACTCATGTCTGCAAATATGGATGTCCCTGCACTATTTTGTCAGGGAGTTGATCAACTCAAAGGCTCATTAAGCTGTATCTGATTGGAGAACTCTAAGTCACATGTC